AGACGCTGAAAAGAGCAGAGAGACGCTGAAAAGAGCAGAGAGACGCTAAAATGAGCAGAGAGAAGCTGAAATGAGCAGAGAGAAGCTGAAATGAGTAGCAAAAGGCTGTAAACAGCACAAAGAGTTTGAAGGGTGTTAAGAGAGCTCCATTTTCAATGAGAAAACCATGGCCGACAAAGACAAATATTGCAAAAAGTAAAATGTGCACAAACAACAAAACTCACAGCGTGAAAGTCCTGAATAAGCTGAAGGTTTTGATGTATGAATTGTTTAAATAGAACAAAAACTGCTGAAGGAGTTACACGCTGAACAAAGTATGGAAGAAAAACGGCTCAGTGGTGAGAACGATTTAAAAACATTCTCACAATAAATAATCAGGCCCTCTTTAAAACAGAAACCCTAAACTTTAACGGTGCCAATTTTAAAATCTAGAGCCAGTTGAGGTTTTGGATCGATCACCTGATCTTGGCGTTTTTGCCTCTTAAGGCCTAATGACCGCTCCTTCATCACTTTAAAAAGAAAACAGGAGCTGCCTCCTCTTTGCCGACTTCACTTCCACATTCCTGCATGTTTGTGGCCTTCCAGCTCCGTCCTGCACGAGCTGCAGAGAGTTCCTTGTAGGAACACCAGAAGACGAGGAACATTTCATAGCTCAAACTACAAACGTAAGCAGACGCTAAAACGAGCTGGTGTCAGCTTTAACGTACCGCCAAGAACTCGTTGAAGCTGATCAAGTTGTCCTTGTTGCGATCCAGTTTCTGGAGCGTCTCTCGGACCATGTAGCCAGGCAGGGGGTGTCCAGCTTCTTTGAGGAGCTCGCCAAGCTCAAAATCATTAATAAACCCGTTATGGTCCAGATCTGAAGCAACAGAAACAGAGGCAGGATCGATGACGTGATTGTGTAATAATCATTTGTAATAAAAAGTATCAGGAACTGTTTGAGCCTACATTAGGAGGAAAATACATTTTTTCCCCAACAATTCCGTTAAACAGCGATCACAATAATCTGCGTCACTCACCGATTTTCTGAAAGATCTCCCTCATCTCTTCCTCCTCCTCCCGTGTTATTTTTCCAGACATTTTTTCTGTGATTGACCAGACGTGGTCAGCCAGAAAAAAGGTGACTGTGGAAAGAGGAAAAACATCATCAGAGTCTTTAAAAGAACCGGGAGGAACGAGCCGAGACGAGCTCATCCAGACGTCTGCGGCCTCGCGTATCTGCACGCCCCCTGAGAAACATCAAACCCCTCCTCCATCAGGTCTCCCACACCAAATATTCACTCCTCTTCAAGAATGCCCGTTTTGCTTCATCAAAGCAGTTTCCCGTTGCCTCCACTGTGAAGAAACAAGCCCTTACTGTAATAAAACTGCACAGGAGCTGTGACCAGAACCACCTTTGGGTTATTTACATGCTTTTCATAAATTTGCTTACAGCACAGGACATCCAGCAAAACTTCAGACTCTCATTATTAAATTTTTTATTTATGTTGGCACCACTATAAAAAAAAAGAAGAAAGAAACTGCTGCAAACTTTTGTATGACACTTAAAAAAAATACACACAAAATAAATAAATAAATAAAAGACAGGAAGGAGACTTGTATTCAGGCCAGAGAGTGGGTCGTTCAGCCGGACAAAAACCTCTGTGTTCACAGTCTCCGCTGAGGCAAAGTACCGTAACCGTCAGGAAATCTCAGGAGAAAAAGGAATTTCGCCCTGCGCCTCCTTCCCGTTCTGGAGTGGCGGAGGAATGCTCGAGACCTGGGCAGACCAGGCGTCTCACAAAGAAGTGAGCAGGGCGTGCTGCCTCGCTCTCAGGGGGTTGAACCGGTACGGTGGCATTCCTCTTCAGCACGAGCGCCGGGTGAACAAAACGAGGTTTGTGCCGCGACAAACTGGGGATCAAAGACTTTTCCAGAGTGAACATGTCTCTCCAAGCCTGACTCAAAAGGGAAAACGTTGACTCTCGCACGCAATTTGTGAGAAATCCTGGAATTAAAGTTGCTTGGCTTTCATAACACTAAATGTTTGAACCACAAAAAGGAGCATGGGCTCTAAAAATAATTTATTCCGAGGCAAACGCTACGATAATAGGAGCAAAAGTTGCTGAAAAAGATGATTCAACAGCAGCCATGTGGTCTCCGAGGCGTGACTCAGTTCCTATTCATCTTTCCAACAGACGAAACAAAGGGATGAATTAAACACGGAGTGCAGACCGATCCAGAGCAACAAAAGATTAGCAACTTTAATCAGCCACAACATAACTTTAAAGGCCTCGTAATGAATCAGAGAAAACAGATTGTCCTTACGAAGTTAAATCAGGACATTACAAAGTCCTGACTAAACTGTCAGGAAAACAGCGAAGCAAGCGAGGCTATATTTAGCTTTCCTCCCAAAAGGATGTGAAATGTGGCTGCTGAAGGAGGCGCAGCTGCAACAAGGGCTGACAAACATTACCTCACCCGCCAGCCCCTCCGCCGTGCCCTCAACAGAGGCCGGGCGGACTCACAAGAGGGGGGTTAAATACACGGAGCGAGGGCACAGATGGCGGCAGACAAATGTTAGCCGTATCGCTGGTGGCACAGAAGAATAGAGGGGTTTGTAATCTTGGCCACAAACTGTCGCAGTAAGTCCTGGAAAAATGCGCTCGGAGTGTCAGGCTCCAAAGACAGTTGGTCCCTTTGACAACTGGACGGGGGGTGGGGGTGTTGTTGGAGGACAAACGAGAAGAAACGTTCAGCTTCAGCAAACTAAAAGGACCGGTCAATACCTCTGAATTCAAACACACCAGTGAAACATCTGTACTTGGCTGCAGAATGTGGGAATAATACTGCAGAGCTAAATTATACAAAAACGCATAATTACTGAGAATGAGCTGCCAAATATGTAGCTGGATATTTTTAAATGAAATCAAGGAGGGAAAGAAAACAAATCCGCTTGTTTTTAATCGTTTGATGTCACGTTATATGCAGCTGCTGCCAATAAGATGCGAGATAATTCAGATACTTTGAAGGGGGTTCTATGAAACAGGGCGAACATTTAGTATCTTACCTGCTGTACATGGGTCTCAGAATGATCTCGGTTTGAAAAACAAAGAACTACATCTGATAAGACTGAAGAGCTAGCTCGAACAACTAAGACTAAAGATGATTGCTCACATCTTACTGTTTTAAAGATGGAAGCCTATGGTTGTTTGAAAACTCAAACTGCAGCAGCAGCTAGCTGTAGCGATTCCAGTGCAGCGTGGCGTTCAACTGGAAGGAGTATTATATTTCTGCTGGAATAAGTGTGGCACAAAACTGATTAATACAAATTTGAGGGTTTTTAAGATTAAAGCTGTTCAAAAACACCACCATCTGCTTTGTGAGTAATTTAACTCAGATTACGCACGATTAGTCAATCAGAGAGCAAGAGGGTTCACATTAACAGACTAGGTCCACTTAAAACTACTCTTCATTATTTCACTGCGTTTCAGGCAAATGCTATTTTATAAACCTTTGGTTTACTGTCATGTTGTCAACAAAGGCTATATCATGACAAGGTGTAATAAAAACTAGCTGATTTAAAATATCAAACCCATTAAATCAATATTTGATAGAAATGCAACAACTGCCGTACAGCGTATGTGAAGAAACCTTTATCAAAACCTTTGTCAGTAAACATTTCCTTGTGTTACTCAAAGCAGAACAGAAAGGTCAAATTAGTTTAACTTTAAATAACTTTATAAATCTTTACACAACTAGCAATTTTAGGTTACTCGTTACTTCGTGGTTCGACTTTTGTGAACTCGCTCTTTTGTGGTTTTTCAAAGTAAGATTGTACATGAGAAAAAAGTACACAACACAATTGTCAACTTTAATATTACGTAATTGGGACAGTACGGGATACAGTAAAAAGTTAACTAAAAAATACTTCTACAGACAGGTGCCGCCATTTTGTAGTTTTCCCTCGATAAGCCTATACTGTATCGCCACTCAAAAGGACTACATTTCCCAGAAGCCCCCACAGTGCTTCCAACCATTGCTTTCTGCTGAAATAGAGGGAAAGTTTTGATCTTTTCTGAAAAAGTTTGGTCCTTATTCATACAGTGACTTCGGCGCCCAGTGGATGCAGAGAGCCACATGGGACCAACCAGGAACCAGACCAGAACTGGACCTCCAGACTCATTGGTGAATCTGAGTGCCGACCGCAGGTCCAAGAGGTCTTCTGAGCAGGGAGGCGCCACACGGAGGACCAGCATTCTCTCCGGAACACACTGGGACTACCCCATCCAGATTTGGACTTTATCAGAACCACCGTGTGGTCCCGTGCTGGCCATCCGAAGGTCCGGCTACCTCCAAAAGCGTTTTGGTGCTCAAGGGCTGCAGAGAGCTGACCAGAACCAGCAGGGTAGATCTGCCAAACCAGAACCGAGTCGGACCAGAACCGAGCTGCTGGTCTGCAGAGCCGGTGAGTAAAATGTTGCAGTACTGTACAGTACATATACACGTGTTGTTAAAACGACGTAGGTTTAAGAGTTTATAAAGCCTTAAAATATATAAATACTAACATAAATATAACGTTCCTACTTCGTGGATTTTCACTTATTGGGGGGGGGGGGGTCCAAAACGTAACCCCCGTGATAAATGAGATTGCTGTACATGGTTATTCCTGCAGATGAGGAAATTATTCACACTTTACGGCGGCAACAACAACAACAACAACAACAACAACAACAACAACATTTTATAAATATGCCTGACGTGAAAGGTTTAAAACAGTGTTGGCATTGGAGCCGTTTTTAAATGGCAGCGATCCACTTTCGTCTTCGTGTCAGAAACCGTTTGTCCAAACTGGAAAGTATTAATTGTTCATTACTTCTCTGAACCACTGCTTCAAAACCGTTGAACTATTCCTGCTTGCATCATTTAACTCCACATATTTTCCTCGGACCCAGCTTTAACGGTCAACACATACAAAAAAAGTAAAAACCCAAAACACTAAACACCCTGGTGAAGCAGTTCAGTAGCCTTTGATAGGTTTGATGGAGCCAATTAAAAAGCACAGGGCTGCCCCCAGATGGCTGCGCTCAGTGGGAGGACCGGCACGCCCCGCCTGGCCAGCGTTTCATCCACAGCTACATGGGAAACGTGAGGCACACAAATAGAGCGGGCAGCCTTCCCATGTGTGGTCACGTTCAAATGCACACACCCTACAACACAGTCTGCAAGAACAGTCACAATCAGCGGCAGATGTGAAGCAAACACTGAGTCAAGAGCCACTCATCAGCTCCTCGGGCTCTCCTCCTCCTCCTCACCCGTCAGGCAGACTGACAGGTGAGGAGGAGGAGACCTACAAAGATGTGCGAGTCGACTTTATGCAACTTGGAATTGACGTACAGCTGGAAACACAGCCTGGACTCCTTTCAGGGGTAAAACTGGATTGTCATATTAAACCATTCCTCAGCAGGTTTGTCGAACCGCAGGTAGCCGTTTTCACTTCCTGTAACGCACAACTGTCACCAAACAAAAGTGTGTAGCAGTGAAAATAAAAATTAAAAACTGTTCGGGCAAAGTTGTCCAAACAAGAATCCACACAAACAGAGAATGTCATTAAACAGGTTAGAAAAAGGTGTTGCTGAACGGTAGGCCGCAGGTTAGGAGCCACACCTACATTTGTAATTACTTAACAAAAACACATCGTCATTTTACGGACTGCACGGCTCCGCCTGCTCAAACCAAAACTAAATTAAAGTCCTGGGGCTCAGGAAAGGCTTTCAAATGTTCAAGAAAAACCTCCATACTCAATTTACAGCTTTAATTCACAAACCACTGGGTGAATTTTAATTTAACCTCCAGGAAGTAATGGCTGTACTGTATACAAGAACATTAAGAGTCAGCCCAATTCAAGATGGCCACCATGGCCAAGCAACCTTGGAAAACACAAAAAATGGCTATAACTCAGTCAGTTTTATAGACATTCAGCTATAATTAGGTGTGGTAGTTAAGCCTGTCGCGATAAACAATAAATCAATTAATCGCATGATAAATGAAAATTAACCTCATTTTCATTTATCGGCTTTCTCGTTTCTTCGTGTCTCTTTCTACTGAAGACACTGGATGACAAACTCAACTCCGGTGTTCTTCACTGACCCCCACCCCCACCCCCACCCCCCTTTTCTCTTTTCCCTTTAAAATCTGTTTTAACGATCCAAAAATCACGTTTTTGGATCGTTAAAAGCAGCTAAGCTGAGAAGCTAAGCTAACAGGCCGAACTCGGGGGGGGGGGGGGGGGGATCTCATCGAAGCTTCAAAATTCACAGTTAAAACTAGGAATGCGCGATATAAACGGTACACAGTAGAAACGATAGAAATTTAGCCTACGATAGAGATCTGTCTTCTACCGGCTAACCGCAGTGATGCTGTGTCTGATGTAAAATCAGAGCTGTCAGTTTAATCGTTACTTTTTTTAGTTGAAAACTATGCGCAAGTGGCGTTAAAGTCTTTTTTTCGAGAGCTAAGTAGCGAAGCTACAAGCTAACTAAGGCCGGCTTGCCATAGTGTTACCGTATTCTGACGCATACGCAAAACGCTGTGTTCCGTCGAAAGTTTGTTTTTTTCCATCAAAAGTTAAAGTAAGCGTTGGTCAGCTTTAGAGAAACCTGCTCTCTGATCCGTGAAAAGAACGCTGTGTTGTGTGATTTTACTGCGAGACCCTCTGGTCAAAGCCACAGTCATTTTGTGTCAGCTCTCCATTAAAGCAGAAGGAGTCGCCCACTAGAGGTTTGGAGGGTGAAGTGTTTCAGTGTAAAATGCTGCTCTGTTGCTGTTCATTTATTAAGTAAGACTGGAAACTGTAAGAGTTAACAACATATTATTTTGTTTAAAACATATGGCTTAAACTACATTTTATATATTTTGAACTGTTTTGCACTACAAGAAAGAAGCCTAATACTTGGTTTGTTTATTATTTAAAAACTCTCTGGACCTAGTAGTGGAATTTTTTAAAATTCAAAATATATGATGGCAAAAGGACATCCTATGCTTTTTTTTAGCAAGTTTTATAACAAAAACATATTGTGATATATATTGTTATCGCCACCCTTCACAATACATATCGTGATATGAATTTTATGCCATATCGCACATTCCTAGTTAAAACCTGTGCCTTCGTGTAAAAAGTTGTTTTTCCTCTGAAAAAAGAAGCTGAGAACTTGTTTACTGATTCTTTTATTAAAAGCTTTGTGTGAAAAATGCTATGCTAAAGAGCTTAAACCACACCGAGCGTCCACCATTTTGAGAACCGAAAAAAGGAAGGAGACAGCCCATGTCACGTTAAGGGGCCTCACTCCCAGTTTTCTTAAAAGAGACACGCTGCTCACTCCCTCACTATCCATCCTTTGGTTCAAACAGTTTTATACTGCCATCCGGTGGTCAAAAAAGGTATTACACGCAAAATAAACTAACCAACATTTCTTCTTATATTTGACAATAATTACTAATTGTCAATTTTCAAACAATATTATTTCATTGCAATAATTTTGAGACAATCGCGCAGCAAAATTTGTTATCATGACAGGCCTAGTGGTCGTAGGCGAGAGTCATCTCCTCACTCACTGAGCACTAGCAGATCGTGCAAGATGTGTTTTAAGAACAACAAATTATCTCACGAACCACTGGATGAACTTTAATGAAACTTTCAGGAATCACAAGACGCACGTCTGCAAGTCATCAACTTCTGGACTCAACACAATTCAAGATGGCCGATCACGCCATCGACTTGGGTTCCTTTTAGAAATGCTAGGCTCTTAATTGAAAAGAGAGCAATTATTCACATAATTCAGTTACTCAAGAGCACCTATAACATGTCTGCAACATGTATATCTTTTCTAAATTCAACGTTCCAGAAAAGTGTTGCCAAAAAGTAACTTGATTCATTTGACTGAAGGCTCCAGTTGGAGCTCCTGACAGATCAGAAAGTAGAGCGACCTGTTCGTTCCCACAGGTGTGAACGGTAGAAAACAAACTGTACCTCCTCCTCCTTCCTGACCCTCTGGTTTGTTTTTACAGCGATAACAGATGCGTAATGTCTGTGTACAACGCAGGCAGTGGGTGCTCATCTCATTCCACTGCAAACAGAGATCTTATTAAACTATTGTGAAGCATAGCACGCATACCACACACACACTCACTCACTGCCGGTCCAACCACACCTGCTGGGTTAATGTCAGGCGCCACTACGACGAGGAGCCCTCTCAATGAAAAGTGAAGAGAAATCACCTTCAGCTGCTCTCTTTTGGACAGTTTAAGAGAAATGGGCATCAGTATCACCCACTCAAGTGTCTGCACTGATTGTAATCGCAACACTCTCCTTGTGTAAAGTCAAAACATTTTACAAGTTGCCATGTGGGTTTTCTGGGCAGCCTTGTTGTTCAACCTTGTTCCAGTCATGATCCACAATCAGGATCCCAGATGTTGAAAATGCTGCAGATGCACTCCAGGAAAAAAAATTATCTGGTAAATCACTCAGAGCAGTAAACAAGTTTACACAGACCACTGTTGAGCAAAAACAAAATTACCCAAGTGAGCATGACTAAGGTGCTTTTTCTGGTCTTCAGACAAAAAAACAAAACAAAAAAAATTCTTATGTATACCACACAAATCATACTTTAGGAAAACAATCTATGTCACACAGAGGAGAACTCATTCAGCCTAAAGTAATTTAATTAATAGCAACAAATGCCATAAGATGGCAAAATAGTAACTTTAAAAAAGTCATAGCAGGCATCACCTTTAAAACTAATAAAACATTTTTAAAATTAAAACTTAAAACTCCTTAAGTTTATGGGTGACCCGCCTAATATTTTCTTAAATAATACATTTACTCACATTTTTACCTGTTAAAAAAAGAAAAAAAAAACTACTTTGTGTACCGTTTTCAACGCATGCGCATTATTTTCGCCCAGACGCTAATTATTTTTATTTTGTCATCTTTGTTTAATTTCTTGCGTTACAGTTAAATGAGTCGAAATAATTTTAGCATTTTATGGCTAAGCTGGCGTGATAAGGATGAATAAGCTAAAGAAGGTGTGGCTAATGCTAGGCGGTTAGCAACAGACATGTAAGTTTATGTAGGCAGGAAACTATCCTCTTGGACCTCCATCCTTTGAAGGGAGGGTGGCGGCTGCCTCACAATAAAGGACGAATGAAGACAATATACACCGTTTATTTTAACACTAAGGGGCTAAAGTTTAGCTGTAAGAAGTTGTTCGTCTGTAAAGTTGCCAGGAAATTGATACTCACTGTCGGTGCGCCCGAATCTCTAGACGGCGTCCAGTTCAGTGTCCTGCCTCCTCCACGTACAGACAAAAGTAGACGCCAGGAATGTTGGCTCCGCCCTGTCGGTGACGTCACCTAAATGCTCCAATAGTATAGAGCGCCGTTTGTGCCAAAATTTTACGTTTAAAAATAAAAACAATACAAATAAAATAAAATATTGTTCCTCAAAACGTTTTTTTTTTTTTGCGAATGCATGTGATTGCTGAGCACATGTTTCATTCACATACATTCACACATACTGGGCACTAGTACTGAGTATTAAAAGTGATAATTTAGTCATCTTTAAATTGATTTTCTAGCTAGCAGTTATCAAAATTTACCATATATACGGTGATATCAGCCATATAGCAAAGAATATGAAGAAAGCAGCAAAGGTTTTCTTCAAGGCTGGTTTAGTGACTAATCAAACAAGGGCCTGATTAATTTTATGATTTCTCAGACATTAAAAAAAAAAACCTCTCTCAGAAATGGCATGCTTGTGTAAGAGAACTCTACATTAGCTGATATTAAACATTTTTTTGCATGACAGTCTGTTTAGTTAGCAATGTTTTCATAACCAAACAATGTCAATGGTAGAATGCAAATGTGCCTGTGAGTCACATTTGCAGACCATGTATTCATTCCTTGAAAGATTCAGGTTAGTCATGTTGAGACACCATCCATCCATCCATTATCTTTTACCCGCTTCTTCCTTTTTGGGTCACAGGAATCACTTGTGCCCATGTCCAACCATCACAGTGCGAGGGGTGGGGTACACCCTGGACAGGTTGCAAGTCCATCACAGGGACAAATAGAGACAAATGAGACAAACAACCATTCACTCTCTCACACCTAGGGACAATTTAGAGTTACCAGTCAGAGAATATATAAATATGTCAGTGCTGCCAAGGTACCTGAAAGTATCAGTTTTTCGATCTAGTTAGTCAAGATCTAAAAAAGTTAAGTCAGGTCCTCTGGATGGGTTCAAAAAACAATAAACTGTAGAAACGTTTCATCTTTCACCCAAAAGACTTCTTCAGTCTGAGGACCTGTCTTTTAAATAGCACCTTGTCATAGTGGATCAACCAGTTTGAGCTTTGAGCTGAATACAGCTCCTCAGACTGAAGAAATCTTTTAGGTGAAAGATGAAACGTTTCTACATTTTTTTTTTTTTTTTTTAACCTGTCCAGAGGACCAGACTTAACTTTTTAGATTTTTCTACCTGGATTATTGAGCATGCATCAGGATAGTCAAGAGTTTGCTCAAGTGTTTAGTCATGCAAATGTGTAGAAGTTTATTTGTAGCTAATGTAGTGTTCATATGCCATTTTTTTGTACAAAATTATTTTATTATCCTGAAAAAAATAAAACCAGGCCCTGGTTTGGCTAGCCATTAGCTTATCCTAGATGAAGACTTTTACTTTTTTGTCCATACTGCGTGCTCTATAACTGATGTCAAATCTGGCAAAGTAAGGTACCAACTACCCAGTAATATTATATGTTAGAATCTAACATTTAAGTTGGTACATTATTTTAAATTTTATTTTAAAGGGATAGTTCAATTTAATTTAACGAGCTATTCTATCTTGTTAAAGTAAACTGAACTATCCCTTCAACTAATGTCTTTAAATTTTGTGTGATGTAAGGCAGACTTAATTGTGATTTTTAAAATATGTCCTAAGTAAACTGTCATTAGGCTTTCTGAAGGACTTTCAAAACTTTACCTTGGACTTTGGCTGAATTTCTTGAGAATTTGTGGGTTACTAAATCAGTTAAGTCCTGTTTATATAAAAAAAATCAATTGCTTTTAAACAGGGAACAGTCTTTGGCCAGTATCGGGAGTGGTGGCGCAGAAGTTAGAGAAGATGGGCCTGTGATTGGAAAGTCGCAGGTTCAACTCCCAGTACCGTCAACAGCAAAATGTGGGTGGAAAAGGTGAAACACCCACACCTGCCTCCACACTCATTTGCACCACTCTTGGCCCCTGAGCAAGGCCCTTAACCCCCACCATTTGCTCCCAAAAACAAGTCTCTTGAAAATGAGTTCTCCTGACTCAGTGAGACTAACTGTATAAATGAAGGGTAAATAGAAAAAAAAAATAACCAGAAAAGAAGTAATGGAAGAAATTTCAAAAGCAAAACAAAAGTACAAAGTTGAACTGGAGACGAAAATGGCCACAAATAAACTTGGCTCAGCATGGGCTATTATGAAGACTACTGCAGGCCTTCAGAAGGCACAACACGCCCGTGCCACTATAAATGGTTTTTATTCAGACTTCAAACTAGCAAACGCTTTAAATTAATTTTATTGTCATTTTGATAACTGTGATTTGTGCGAAGAAATCCAGAAAGTAGAGCATAATCTTAAAGACACATGTTCTGTAAAATGTTTTACAATGCTTCTCATTCATCCTTACGCTCAATGTGTGTTCACTTACATATATATATATATATATATATATATATATATATATATATATATAAATATATATATATATATATATATATATATATATATATTTTACATTCCCACTCAGACAGCATACACTGAATAGCATATTGGTGGGAAATCAGTGGACAAGAGCACGTTGACACTTTGTAGAGGATTGGACCCCTGACCTTTTTGAAACACCAGGCCAAAGCTTTTTCCTAATTCCAAAAGAGATGGCTTTAGAGAGGTCTGACACTGCTTTTGTCACACTCCACAATATGTTGTCATTTACAGGTGCAAGGACTGGACAGAAAATGAGTCAAAGAGCAACCAATGTACAAAAGAAAACTTTGAAAAATCTTGAGAAATCCCAGAAAATGGTCACCACTTTGAAAGAGTACAAAAATCTAGCTCCTAATCAAAATATCAAAAGATTAAGAATAATTTTTGTACATCTATCCATGCATTTTTTTAACCTACTTATTCCATGGAATTGTCAGCAGTGGTCACTGTGCAACGGGTGGGGGACATGTTGCAAGTCCATCACAGGGACACAGAGACAAATGGGACAAACAACCATTCACTCTGACCCCAGCCACTTGGGCCAGCTCGTCCAGGGGAATTCCAAGGCGTTCCCAGGCCAGCCGAGAAACATAGTCCCTCCAGCGTGTCCTGGGTCTTCCTCTGGGTCTCCTCCCAGTGGGACGTGCCTGGAACACCTCACCAGGGAGGCGTCCAGGAGGCATCCTAACCAGATGCCCGAGCCACCTCAACTGGCTCCTCTCGATGTGGGGAAGCAGCGTCTCTACACTGAGTCCTTAACAGATAACGGAGTTTCGCACCCTACCTCTAAGGGAAAGCCCAGACATCCTGCGGAGAAAACTCATTTCGGCCGCTTGTATCCGAGATCTCGTTCTTTCGGTCACAACCCAAAGCTCATGACCATAGATGAGGGAGAGGGAAGTCTGGGCCTCCCTACTTAGGCTGCTACCCCCGCGACCCGATCCCGGATAATCATAAGAAAATGGATGGATGGACTAGGTGGAGATATCTGGTAATAAATTTTAAAGCATAAAAAATTTCAAGCAGTTTAAAAAAACATTCGGATTACTTTGTAAATTGCAGTGTTATTTTAATTCCTGAGATTGAGAAGAGGACAGTTTCTTAGAGAAATAATGTATTTTGCTTTGTGTGTTATCTGTTGTTCTGTCTGTACAGCACTTTGGTTGGCCTTGTCGCTGTTTTAAGTGCTCTACAAACAAAATGGTATGGTATGGAGGAGGCCAGCGCGTTTTAAAACAGGAAGATGCTCCTTCCGGCCAGCAGGTGGCGCTAGTTCCTCCGGGGTAACAAAAAGCCTAGAAGAAGAATTTCGTTGTTTTTTTTTTATCTCTTCTACATCTCTGCAGCTCAGCGCCATATTTTCGTCACATTTTTTTCATTATGAGATTATAAAAGGATTTGAAAAGCTTCGGTTGTTCGTCTGATTTGCGACATGTCTACTTTAAGGTAAAGAACTGTAGCGTGACTTGAGGCTTCTTCACTGCGCGTGCATCGGTTCGCTAGCTTTAGCTTAGCATATCGCTACATAAGCTAACAGCTAAGCTAACGGGGAAAAAAAAACGAAATAACATAACTTGTACATTTTTTATTAAATATTTTATTAATATTGACAGGAGTCATCAATATTTATATAACTCCAAGCGTGTTTTAAGAAGTCAAAGAAACGTTTGTTTAAATGAAAACAAATTTTTGAGCTGAACGTGCCTTCGCGCATGTTTTTCATGGAGTTGTTATTGGGTTTGTTTACAATAAACCCTTCGACATTATTATAGTCAGTGGTGGAGAAGAGGTTAGGGAAGGTGGGCCTGTTATCGGAAGTTCGTCAGTACAATTCCCCAGACCGACAACATCAGAATGTCGTGGGTGGGAAAGATGAAACACCTGTCTCCGCCGTCATTTGCCCCACCCTGGGCCCTTGAGCAAGGCCATTGACCATCTACTTCCCAGGGTGCCCTATAGCAGCTCTCTGCTCCACACAGAGGGCTGTGGTAGCTCGGTAGTCTGTGGTTATGTCAGAAAGGGCATCTGGCATTAAAACAATTGCCAAGTCTTCGTGGGAGTTGGTTCGCTGTGGAGATCCGTGAGGAAGGGCTACCTAAGCTGAAAGAAGTGACAAAAAATTGTAGACCCAACATAGAATACATATTTTAGTTCTCCTGCTTTTTGACCAAGTTCTTTCAGAAAACGAGTGCATTGTACCCATATGCTCATTCTGCAAATAGTCTGATGGGTTATCAGTAAATACTGCATGTGATTGGTATTCAACTTTGTTTTATATCACACATGAAGGCAGCTCACAAGAAAATAAAAAGATTGGACTTGATGCTGTCTCTTTTTCCTTTTATGATAATACTTTACCTGGCTTAGTGATATGTGGTGGAGGCACTCAAACACAAATATGCGGTAGGAATACTTTTGCATGTTATAAACCCTCTCATTTTGCAAACACAGGCGGTTGGCACTATCCAGAAACTAAACTGAAAGAGACAAAAACAGCTCCCGTTTCTTTTGGATGTAGCCTTTTAAATGGGACAAGATTGTCAGTTTTCATCCAATTTCTTGTTCTTGGAAGCTGAAAGCTAATACTTGGAAGCACCATTGGTCCAGATTAACGAATAATGCTTATTCAGTATTAAGTTACCATTAGGCCATAGATATTGGGAAAAAGATGCAGTTACAATTAATCATAATCAGTGTTAGAACACTGTTGGGATTACAGATGCAGCATTAGAATGGTTCCGTTCTTACCTAAGTGACAGGAGTCTGTTAAGGTTGGAAATGGTGTATCTGCGTCAGTGCCCAATTCCTGCGAGGTCCCACAAGGCTCGATTCTTGGACTCCTTTTGGTTTCGCTATCTGCTTCCATTGGGGTCTATCCTGAGGAAACATGGTCTTTCATTTAGGGATGCGCAATACTGGATTTTTGGCCGATATCCGATATGCCAATATGTTAAAACTTATTCGGCCGATTACCGATGCCGATACCAATATTTTACATATGTTCCTTTGTCAGAACATAGCCTTCTTATTTAGGCTTATTTGCTACAAAAATTGTGCAACAACTGTAAGAGCTGGTGACATATTCATTAACAGCCATATGATATGCATAGCACTTCGACTTATTAAATGAAAAGTGTTAAATGTTATTTATTAGCATTAGTCACCTGCAATGCTGTCTCACTTGTGGAGGCTTGTTCCTGGTTCCTAGCTGCAGTGTGGGATCCTCTGTACTCTTGTGCATGAAGGAGAGACTTTTTAAGTTCAAAGTTTTTGTCTATCCATTGTGTCGTAAGACTTAAGCATGCTAACGGGGCTAACACGACGTCCAAATGTCTGTGGTAAAACCCACCCAACAAGTCATGCTATCGGCTATTAGCTTCTCAATGACGGCTTGTAACTTGTGTAACGTTATGCCGGAAAAATATCTGCGGACGATGTAGCGAGGCTCAACATAGTTCATAAATCTTCGGAATCCGACATCCTCACCAATGAAAAATAAAATTTCCGCACCACCGACATTTTGAATCGTCCTCGCCTTGAGATTGGGTAGACGCACGTGACGTCATCGCGTTGCGCTGCCGCTGCAACGTCATCACGTTGTGCTGACGCTGCAGGCAAAAACAGCGCCTTTTATATCGGCATGTTATTTTAATGGAATGGCCAATGTCCGATATTGAAATTTAACGCTAATATCGGCCGATACCATGCCGATAATATTGTGCATCCCTACTTTCATTTCATTGTTATGCTGATGATTGTCTGATTTATCTGCCCGTAAAACCTAATAGTTCTTGCTCAATTCACCCTCTGTTAAAATGTCCTGATGGCTTCAGTTTTTTTTTTAGTTTTAATGATCAGAAGACTGAAGTCATTGTGTTTAGCCCTAGGTCTGCCGCTGTCTCTGATCCTGTAAGTCTTGACTCTTCAGCCATATCGTAAGCAAGCAGTCTGTTACGAATCTTGGGATGGTTTTAGACTCTGACTTGTAAGTTTAATAAACAAATCCACTCTGTTCTGCAGCTAAACTTCTTCTAGTTAAGGCAGATAGCTAAGTTTAAGTCAGTGTTGCCCAGATTTGACCTTGAAAAACTAGTCCATGCCTTTACTACCTGACTGGACTACTGTAACGCACTCTATGTTGAGGTCAGTCAGGCCTCCATTTCGCATCTAACTTGTCCAAGATGCTGCAACTCGGCTATTAACAGGAAATTGTAGGTTTGATCACATTACACCAGTTTTGTCTTCCCTTCACTGGCTCCCTGTACGTACCAGAATTTAATTTTAAAATTCTCCTGCTAACCTTTTAGTGCCTAAATGACCTTGCACCCTGTTATCTCTCTGAGCTACTGGAACTATATGTTCCCTCTCAGTCCATGAGATCAACTGCTTTTGGCTGTTCCAAAAAGAAGATTGAAGCTCAGAGGTGATCTAGCTTTTTCGGTCGTTGTGGACCCCAAACTTTGGAACAATCTGCCCCACAACATTAAACAGGTCACTTCACTTGTTTTTAAATCTCTGCTAAAAACACATGTTTTTCCTGGCTTTTTACACGGCGTGACTTGATTTAGGATTGTCTGAGTTTCTTTTTGTCATTCGCACCACATGTGGTGCATGTGGTGGAATAAAATTGTGTAAACAGGGTCCCAGTTACATTCAACAATAAAATGTAAAAGAAAAACAGTAATAAGATCTAAGATATAAGCTAAGAAAAACATTAACTTAAAATAAGCTAAGCACTAATAGCATAAAAACAATATGCCGAACAACAGCACGAACATGAGTCTGTGTGAGCAGATGAGCACAAATGAACACAGCAATGAAACAGCATTCACAGTAATTATCCTGGTTAGATATTCATGAGTCTAACAGCCTCAGGGTAGAAGCTGTTCCTCGGTCTAGTGGTTCTACACTTAATGCTCCTCAACCTTCTTCCTGAGGGGAGCGAGGCAAAAAGTGTTTGTGCTGGGTGAGTGGGGTACTTCATGATGCAGGTGGCCTTCTTCCTGCATCTAAAGGTGTAGATGTCCGTGATGGTGGGGAGGCTGAGTCCAACAGACTTTGTGCAGCCTTCACCACTCTCTGCGAAGCTTTTCTTTCTGCAGCTGTGCAGCCTCCATGCCACACGTTGATGCTGGAGCACGGGAGGCTCTCCACCGCACACCTGTAGAAGGAGGTGAGGACTGAGCTTCCCAGTTCAGCTCGCCTCTGCTGCCTGAGGAAGTAGAGTCTGATGAGCTTTCTTGATCAGGCTGGTGGTGTTGTTGCTCCAGCTGAGGTTGTCATTCAGGTGCACACAAAAGTACTTGAAGCTGGAGACCACTTCCACCGCAGATCCTCCAGTGTTTGGGGGTGGGGTGTAGGTGTGTTTGTTCCTTCTAAAGTTCACAACCATCTCCTTTGTCTTCTTCACATTGATGTGAAGGTTATTCTCCTTGCACCAGCTCTGCATTTATTGGTCTGCATTTTTATGTTTTTCTTTTGATGCTTTTAATTAATTTTCAGTAATATCATTATTTTTATTGTTACTTTTTTTCCATGAAATTACTCCCATTGATTTTTACTGTTAAGCACTTTGGTAACAGTTGCTGTTTTAAATGTGCTTTCTAAATAAAGTTGACTTATCTTGACTTAACATATGTGTCAAAAATGAAAAATCTCTGAAATTAGCTGGTATTCAAATTTCTGATGACATTGAATCAGTGTCCATATAGTGACTGAATACAGCAACTCTGCTCTTTTCTCTTTAGATCCTCTTCCAGCAAGCTAAACGTGTTGGTCAACAGGCTTCATGAATATCTGGCTCATTCCAACATTGAGGACGACAACGACATATGCACAGCTGAGGATTCTAATGGTACATTTTTTTAAATGACACAGCATGATCAGTGGAAATGTTTTATTTGTGTTTTTCCTGCGCCGCAGATATTTAACAATCTTTTGTTCATAGATCGGACAAACAAAAGCTGTTCTGCGAGGAACTCTGGTCATATCGCTACAGAGGTAATTTGAACATTAATGAACAAGCTTTAACGTTCTGGTTATAATTTTTACCAGTTTTTTTTTTTTTTTTTGCATTGATTGCGCCAATGGTGCTGATAATCTTTGATCAGAATCCAACAGAAATTTGGTCTTGGTGAAACAATCAGCAACCTGCAGGTTAACAAATACAGTAATACATAATAATAATAATAATTTTATTTAAAAGCGCCTTTCAGGACACCCACAAGGACACTTTACAGCAAGATGTACACATGTTTCTATGAGATTAGAGCTGGGCAATATCTCGATATTTTAAAAATATCTTTGATTTTTTTTGTTTTTTTTGCAATATAAGTAGAGACTATCTCGATATAAAACAGTATAGTTTTATACTTGGAAATTTTCGTCCATATCGCCCAGCTCTATATGAGATATTTTTATACATTTTAAAATAAGCAGACCTCAGTAATGACAACATCAGAAACAAAACTGTTAAGGTTTACAAAAAGAAATTAAAATTCACTCGCAACTTTTGATGCCGACAAGTTAAATAAGTAGACATTGATAACAGACCACAATCATATATAATGATCAGACTGATCATATTTGAAAAGATAAGGAACAGGAAAACTAAAACTTGTTAAGATAAAATAAGAAATGGTGTCTGGACAAGTAGTGAAGAATAAACTAATTTTGATAACTTTAGGAATATATACCTTTTCCAAAAAAATAGAATATCATGGAAAAGTTGTTTAACTTCCATAATTCCATTCAAAAAGTTAATCTTTAATAGATTATAGAATCAGGGCCTACAATTTAAATATTTCAAGTATTCATTTGTTTATTTGTTTACATAATTTGTGCTTCCAGCTCATGAAACCCACAAAAACAGGATTTCAAAAAAAATTTGAATACTGTGAAGACATCAGCCCACACTACTCAGTTTTTGCAGAAAAAAAAGAAAGAAATTAGGATCACAACAAATCAATCAAAATATGGTACTTTCAAAACGATACGTCAATCTTCAAACTTGGTTGGGAATCCGTTTGCCTTAATCACTGCCTCGATGCGACGTGGCATTGAGGCAATCAGCCTGTGGCATTACCTGGGAATTAAGGAAGCCCAGATTTCCTTGATACTTGCTGTCAGCTCTTTGTTGTTGGGTCTGGTGCTCCTCATTTTCCTCTTGAGAATACCCCATAGATTCTCAATGGGGTTTAGGTCCGGTGAGTTGGCTGGCCAGTCAAGCACTGTGGCATGGGCATCAAACCAGGTTTTGGTGCTTCTGGCAGCATGGGCAGGGGCCAGGTCCTGCTGGAAGATGAAATCTTCATCTCCATACAGATCCTCAGCAGAAGGAATCATGAGGTCCTCTAAAACATTATGGTAGACCGTTGCAGTGACATTGGATTTAAGAAAGCAGAGTTTACCAACACCTGCACCGGACATTGCACCCCAAATCATGACTGACTGTGGATATTTCACACTGGACCTCTCTGGGTTCTATTCCTCACCCTTCTTCCTCCAAACTCTTGGACCTTGATTTCCAAATGAAAGGCACACTTTAATTTCATCGGAAAAGAGGACCGAAGAACCCAACAGTTGTAGCCCATCTCCCGGATCCGTCTGAATGTGGTGGTTTTTGAATCGGTGACTTCCGCCTCATTCCACTCTTTCTGGATCTTTGCCAGATTTGCTTGCCAGGTTGGGTGGGGGTGGGGGGTTCGATTTGGTAGGCGGCGTGCTCTGTTCTGTTGACAGGGTGGGGCACCCCACTTGTATAATTGTAGGGGAAACACTGCTCCCACGTGGCATGATGCTGTACATTGTGATCAAAATGCTTCCTTATTTCTCAACTACTGTCTTTCTTATAAAATTGGCAGTTTTTAAACACTTTCAGCAAAACATTGTTATTGTTTCCTTCCTTCCTTAAATAGATAACTTTACTAATTGACATTTATAATGTATGTGAATGTTTTTGTTCAGTGCCCTGAAATAATTTCTGTTGTGACCACCTGGCTCTATATAAAATGAAATGAATTGAATATTACACCATATAAGTTGTTTTTATAAGTAGGACTGGTTTTAGGTTGTTGAAGACCCAGTCCAACAATCTATTTTAAATTGAAACGGTCTAATTTGAATGCCTCATACCATTAACATACACAAATACGTACAGTAAATGTTTTTTTTCTGAGCAGTGCCTGTAACACGGCTGGCTAAAAAAAAATACAGTAGCCTACCAGGAAGTCATTGATCGCTATCTTCATCTTCCTCCTGTGCACTAAAACCATTAAAGTTGTTTTCTTCAGCGTCAGAATTGAATAGCCTCAGAAAAACTTGATCACACACGTCCTCAGTTTCTCTTTCGTTGGCGCTCTCAGCGTCACTTTGGCTCGAGGCAAATTTGCACTTGAGCTTGTTCTCTTTATCAGGCAGATGTCCAGCCTTGTGACACCCATTAATGATAGTGGATTTTTTTGACACTGCACCTCTGTCAGCATCCACTGGCAGACTTGAGAAAAAGTTGCTCTTTGCATGCGGCCAGTGTTGGTAAACGATTTCTTGCCACTAGTCATCCAAGCCTCCCACCGAGCTCGGAGCACCACAATAACGCACGATCCACATTTAAGTTGAGCGGCTGCAAATTCTTCGTCCTAAATAAATGCTAATAATAAAAGCAAACAAATACTTTGCACAATGTAGACCAATGAAACCAGGGGGGGGGGGGGGGGGTGAGATTGTCTAATATATTTATAAGAATGTCCGGAATGATTGTATTAAAGGCGAGCTTTAATCCACAAAGAGCATTCGAACGTAGCTGTGCTGTTGTTCCAAGTGGCTCAGCGTGGTGTGGAGAGCTACTGCAATAGCATCCTCTGTGGACCTGTTGGTGCGATATGCAAACTGGTAGGGGTCAAAGTTCGGAGGGAGATAGTCCTTGATGTGCTGGAGAACTAGTCTCTCGAAGCACTTCATGATTACTGGAGTGAGAGCCACCGGTCGGTAATCATTCAGGCTGGTGATGATAGGCGTTTTCGGCACTGGGATGATAGTTGCAGATTTTAAGCAGGGAGGGATGACTGCCTGGGCCAGGGAGAGATTGAAAATTCTGGTGAAGGTGGGGGCGAGCTGGAGGGCACATGCTTTGAGCACCCTGCCAGGTACTCCATCTGGGCCAGTAGATTTCCTGGGTTCACTGATTGGAGCGAACGTCTAACATCATTTTCCCGTATAGTGAATGGAGTGGTGCAGTAAACGGGTGGGTGTGGGGGCAGGGCAGGATCAGATGAGTGCTGCTGTGGTGCATCAACGTGTGCAAATAAGCAGTTTAGCTCCTCTGCTAGTGATGCACTCAGGTCTCCTGTTGTCACCTCACAGCCTCTATAGTTTGTGATGTTTTTTTATGCCCTTCCACACCTCCTGTGAGTTGTTACTGGACAGATGGGACTCTATACTCATTTTATGGTCAGGCTTTGCAGTTTTTATTCCCTTATTCAGGTTAGCTCGAGCAGCTCTGTACAGAGCTTCAATCCGCGGGTACCGGATTAACTTCGAAGCGGACGCCCGCAAGGCATGTCCGCGCAATGATCAATTTTTACAACCGTGAACGCGTACTCGGTGTTGCATAATAAACTGCCCATTGACAGACTGTTTTGTATGTGACATCACTGTATTAAATTCCCCTTCTTTATCCCTGGTTTGGTTTAATCGACTTTTCTTTTATTTTCCCAAGAGGCAAGCGATCTCTTCCTCCTTGTCTGTTGACTCCATGACTGAAATTGTAAGAAATGAAGGAATTTGTCAAGAGCGAATTAAAATCAGGTCCAGCGTGACTGTGGGAGGGACTGGAGATTTTCTAGTGGGCTGGTCTGATGTGTGGGCTGCAGGGCCAGCGCTCTCTGTTTTATTTATTTTTTTAAGAACTTTTTATGAACAACATATAAATACAGAACACCGCTGCCGCTGGGCTGCCAGCTCTCTCTTTTTTTTTTTTTTTTTGCGACCTGTCAATCAGTCCAGTAAGCATGTCAGCAAATGACCAATCGACTAACTCAATTTGTCCCGAATGTAAACGCCCCTTGCCCACAGAGCTGACTGCAGCCCATCAAGAGTGTACGCTCGAGTATGAAGTCTCGATCATCTGCGGACAGTGCGTGCATTGTCTGCAAGTCTCACAGTACGCCCCAGTTTGTGGGAGCCTTAAATGTTTTGGTGACATGAAGCTCGTTAGCCCGTCCAAAAAAAAAAAAAAATCCCATACATTAGCCGCAGCATTGTTTCGCCGTGGTGTTCAAAGCGTGTGAAAAAAGTAACAGCTTATAGTCCAGAAATTATGGTAAAACAAAGCTTTAAAATGTGGAACGTAATATTCTCTATTCCTCAACTTTATAAATGCATAAAGCAGCAACTTCACTTTTGTTGCCTTGTTTAACGTTGTTAGGTGTCTAAAACAAAGTTCTCACAGACTAGAAACAAATTTTTGTCTTTAGTTCTCTCTGTTGCATTATAAAATTTAGAACAAAATGTGTCTGTAGGTTTGGACAGAATTACCTAGAGAAATAACAACAAACTTTCTTGTTTTTCAGGCAGCGCTGGACACTAGATACTCAAGAAGGTGAGTTCACTGTTAATTTATAGTTAGATAAAACTGTCCTTATAATAAAAATAATGTGTTATGTATTGTCATCATTGTATGTTCCCATGTGAAATTGTTACCTAATACGTGTCTTTCTGTGAAGTGATTTAAGTTGACATACATTTTTTTCTTTGTTTACAGGAAACCTTCAGTTGTCGTAAAGCACTCGGGACTGGATGAATCTGGAGACTCGAATGCAAGTGAGGACTTGGATTTTCCCGTCAGTTCCAACGGACACATCGATGTCACTAGATTGCCTAAAGGTAAGTCTTTGACAGATAAACTACGTTTTTCCAGACGAGTATTGGTGCAAATGCCAACAGCTGATTGATATCCACTGGTTTTCAGTACCATGTTGCTGTGAATATTTCATAGAAAGCCTGAAGCAGAAAACACAGCAGGAATGTTGCGGTGCATCACTTGAAGTTAGTCACTTGTTGCAGCTAAATCATCAAAGATGCACATGTGCATGTGCAGTAACAACAAAGATCAGCTTTAAAATATTGGTTTAACTTTTACTTTTTAGCAGAATAGACCTTCTCTTCACTATCGTCAGGCAATATCGTTTTGCCTTTTTTTTAATTTATTTTTTTACAATTATAACATTTTGTGCTTTATATCTTCCTTAGATAGAGAACTTTACTAATTGGCTTTTATGTATGTGAATGTTCCTGTAAAGTGCCCCAAGACAACTTTGTTGTGATTTGGTGCTATATAAATAAACTGAATTGAATTGAATTGAATCTTCCAGATCTTTCTCAATGTCAAAATTTTTTCCTCATCCATTTAATATGAAATACCTCTTCAACCAAATAAAAGAAAAAATAACTTTAAAACGTCAAAAAAGAGCTGCTATGGCTACCTGGATGCCCAATCAGGGGGCGAGTACACCTGAAAGTGTTTTTTTTTTTTTTCAGTGCTTCCCAATCTTAAGCAATATTGCTGTTCTTGGCAACATAAAGCGTCAGCTGGTTTGGGGGTCATAACTGAAAATAATGGAGGTGTAATTTTTGATGTGCATCAGATGCCAGGTGTGTGTTTTTGACCTTTGGACACATGTTCTGTTGTCTTTGTATCTTTTATTCAGAATTAGCTCTGGGTGTCACTTGTAACTTCAGGACAAAAAAATATATATTTCAGATTAGCACTATTCATGAATGTGTAACATGTTATGATGGGTCCAGAATCATTACATCCATCCCCATCTCAGGATTATGATTATACATTTGATGTCAAGTAAAGTGCTATGCATTGTCTTCACTGTATGTTTCTGTACAATGATGAAATTAGTTCTCTGCTTTAAACCCATCACACATGAGAGACACCCAGGTGGAGCAGTGGGTTGTTGTTATTGCTCGAGGAGCAGTTAGGGATTAGGTTTCTTGCTCATACACACCACGACATGTGGGCATGGCGGGGAGTTGAACCTGCAACTTTCTGGTACCAGGTCGGCTGCCCTACCTCAACACCATCTCGGCCCCTGATGTGCATGCATATTTGTGGTTATATATGTCGGATGTGTTTTGTTTTTACAGGCACGGTGCTGGTCAGACCTGAACCAGTTGACATTATAAGAGATGACTTCAGGGGTCCAGAGTTTCGCAGCCGGAAACCCAACGTTCTGCGGAAAGAGTTTTCCAGGAGACGTGGAGGTCAGTCAGTCATGACTGCAAAGTAATTTCTTTCTTTTTGATATTTCTGCAGTTTTAAGACTGACTGCTCACTAAATCCTAAAGCCGGCACACATTGTGGTTCTTACCCATTGTGTTGTCTGAAAACCACTGCATTAGTCAAAACACACTGAACTTTCACTTCACTTTGATTCTAAGTGCAGCTTGCTTATGATTTGGTGAAAGATCTCTGTGGTGGGTTGAGGTAAGGCTCTAACGGGACAAACAGTCCAGCAAACCATATTAAGTATGTCGTTGGTAATAACGTTATTTTCCAGGAGAACAGTCAAGGTCAGTCTTCTCACACATTCCAGTGTTTGTGGGAGCTATTGCTCCTATAAAGGTCTCGTTTGCATGAACTGAGCAGCTTTATTAGACTGCTGAATGCACTCCCGCATTGTTTTGCAAAAATAAAGAAAGAATTGCAGCCAAATGAGTTATCTTTCAATTTTTAAGATTTCTTGTAACACAAACTCTATTCATAACAACGTTGTTGCTAATAACTGAGTTTTTTTTCTCCCAGGAGAGCAAAACGTGGGAATTGTGTGTTGCACTGCGTGCGGCCGACAAGTTAACCACTTCCGGAAGGACTCCCTTTATCGACATCCAGTTCTGAAAGTACTTATATGCAAGGTGAGTCTGAAGGCCGATGTAAGAATTTTTTTTTTGTTTGTTTGTTTTCTGATACATTTCAGGTCTCTCTTGTAAATGAGTCCCCGAGGCTCAATGGGATTAACCTGTCTAAATAAAGGTTGAATGAATTCAAGTCATTGTTTTCAGTGAGTTTAGAGCTCTGAAAACTATTCTGAATGCATCCTGTAATTACTCAACATTTAAATCATTTTGAGTTGAAATTATTTGGTGGTGGTATTACAACAACAAACATCAGAAGTTTGAGCTTTTTTTTTGTGGAACAAATAATAATTGTATTACATTTTTCAAATTTGGTTCAGTTTTTTCCTTTATAACTATGACTTGTATGAACTGAAGATTAAAGTTCACTCAATTTAGACACAAAGCTTAATAAAGGTTTGGACTTTATTGAGCCCCAGTTACTTTATCCTACTAAAATACATTGTTAAAACATTCTGAAATGGTTATATTTCATGTCCATCGCATATCTTTAATTACACTACCCACGTTGTCTTTTTTAGGTCTCACCATGTTTATCACTTACAGAGGAAACTCTCATGACTAAATACAAATTAAATGTAAAGCAGAGATTTTATCACTGCTATAATCTCTTAGTAATAGTCGTCCCTGGATATATTGTGGTTCGCTCTTTGTGGCTTCACTGTATTGCAGGTTTTTTATACCTGTTTTTTTTATATTGTGTGTACTGTACATGCTGTGCAGTACTGTACATTCATTGTCATCATCACCATCGCCAAAGTGTTTAAGAGCATATAAAGTGCAGTGTTTCCCCTACCACTGTACAAGCAGGGCGCCATGCCCTGTCAACAGAATCGAGCACCCTGACTACCGAACCCCCACCCTCACATGGACGGCACAGACGTAGCGCTAAGCTAGTGGCGCACAATACAGACACACTAGCTAAAAACCTACAGTGCTCAGTTTCAGTTTCCCTCACTCTGAGCCTACACCCTACTCTCTACACTCCACCACTGCTAGAAAACTGCATGCGCAACACAGACTGTCTTCATATCCACCCCCCACCCAACCCCCTGTCAACAAAAATCCCAGAAGGTATGAACGCCCTGCCAAGGCAAGTAAACTCGGAGAAACACTGAAGTATTTGTAACCCACCTGCTCCACTGTGATCAGCATAATTCTTCTCACCTGGTGGCCGTAGCATTTATGCTCTTCCCTCTTCTCTATCCGGCGACAGATTTCTGAAAGCTTTGCTCAAGAAAATGTCCAGCGTTTATCTCATGCTCCTGACTGATCCCCTAATCATGACCAAGTTTATGTGCCCTGGAGTTTCCTGTTTTGCCTTTACAAAAATTTCCAGTACGTTTCCACAGACTTCCACGAGTCTTTTCAAAATAAAGCTTATTGAATACGCTCTGTCTGGTTGAATTTTCACGTCCTCCACTAAATTCATTACAGGGAAAGGTTAATAAGAGAGTGGGCACAGTTAGTAGGTGTGTGGGAAGGGTCTGTAAATCCTTAA